CACTTGAGAAGAATGTATATCTTGCTGTGATGGGTGGAGCATTCTATAGATGTCAGTTAGGACTCGGTGGTTATTAGTGTTGTTCAAGTTCTCTACTTCCGTTTTGATCATCTGTGTAGATGTCCTGCACATTATTGAAAGTGGGATACTAAAATCTTTTATTATCATGGCATTGTCTATTTCTCTCTCTATTCTTTTCAGTTTAGTTTCATTTATTTTGGTGCCCTGTTGTTAGCTGCATATATGTTTATAATTATATCTTCCTGGTTGATTGACTCTATTGTTATTATAAGGTGTCCCTATTTATATCTAGTAACATTTCTACTTTTAAATTCTATCTTAATTGATATTAGTATAGCTATCTCAGCTTCCTTGTGGTTGCTCCAAAGCACTGTTTTGAATTCTCTAAGGTTTTGATGGGCAGGGTAAGTCAGTGAAGAAATTGCCTCTTTTCCTCCTTTTTTCTCATATTTCAAATGAAATACTTCACCAGTCAACAAACTCTTCTTGAGCAATGGGTATGGTTCACATCACAAGGATCTGCATGATGCGAAAACTCTTATGTCTGGACGAAACCCTGTTCATGGGATTGAATTAGTTCCTTATCCTCTTCAATTCATCCTCAATAAATTTAAATCACATCCCCTTTTAAAATAACTAGGAGTCCTCGTGACAATGACTTAAAGGTAAGGAAAATGAAATTAAAGGGAAAAGAAATCATAGGAATAAACAAGTGCTAGGAAATAAGATACTTACTTTTGAATACCTCAAGTCAGAAAAGCTCCCTGAGTTCTTTGGGTTAGCACTTGCTCTGAGCCCAGTAGAAGAACTGCCAGGTGAGGCCAGTGGGAAACAGAGTGGAGTGAGGATGGCACACTGGGGCCTCTGTCTGTGTGCCCTGATATGCCACTGTGATTACAGATTTCAAAAGGAAGAAAGAAAACATAAAAAAGAAAAAAGATGTAATGCCATCCTGAGTGAGAGTCCCTGTTGGATATTTCCCTGGTCTGAATCCACTTGTTTTGAGGGATGAGAAAACCTCATATTCTGTGCCAGTTTCCTGTCACTGCTTTGAGCTTCATGAGTTCAGAGAGGGGAGGGTGATGTGGCCTCTACCGAGCCGTGTGTTGGCATGGGCCCCTGGTGACAGTGTGTCTGCGCCGCCAGGACACTGGGAATCTTTGGGGCAGTTCTACTTCACTCTTTCAACAACTAGTCAGTTTGGTCTCAGGAAACCACTCTGCAATGATGGCTGGGTTTGAAAGTAATTTCTAATTTTGTGACAAAGAGAAATGTGTCCTATGGAGTAGAAAGTGGTTTTACTGGTGATATTAATGGAACTGTGACCCATTCTGTATCTATGATCCTGCAAAACAAAAGATGTCCATACTCTAATATGTCAGGCAAGTTCACTCTTAGTCCTTCCTTGAAGCAAACTGCAGAAGAAATATACTATTAAGCCCAGAGAATATTGTTTGTGAGTGTGTGTATATATGTGTATCTATAGTCATGAGCTCATTTGCAAATGGTCTATAATGCCACTATAAATGTGATACAAATGATGTGTTTTGAATTATGTTAGGAGGGACACACTTGTTGAAGTTCTGACATTTAACAGAATTGCGGTGGGCCCAGTGCTGAAGTTGGTATCAGCTTTTAAAGGCCAATAGCTGTAATAAAATTCATGAGTTTGGGGGATCCAAAGTGACAAAGGGAAAAAAGAAATCCAAAGGCATGTGGAATGAACCTCTTCTGTTTTCACTTGGCATTCACATTCACTAGCCTAGAAATCACTACACTGATGTTTACTATTTCTTGCAGGAACTTTTATGCCAGTGTCCTTGGTTGAAAAATGGTTGCTTAAGGCGACAGTAAATTAAATGTGACTCATTAGTAACATGAATTAAACTATTTCCTGGTGTTTGTGTTTACCTTGAGACTAACAAAGGAGACAAAAATATAGACTCGCAGGAGGAAGAAAAGGAATGATCAAATCCCGTGGTCTCTGCCCAAGTGTCTAGCTAAGCATCTTTATTCAGGGGGAGAATTTTGTGTTGACAATGAATCTTTGTCCACGTATAATTAACTTTTCCTCTCTGCAGATGCTACTACACACATTAAGCTTTCCCACCAGGCATATAACTGTTAACTGTGATACTTAATGTCTCATTCTAGTATGTTGGACAAAACAAAAGTAAATCAAATGCAAATTTTATACTGTTCCTCAAGCAAAAATGGATGGTGGTTTATAATTTATAACTTAAATTTAAAAATTAAAACTGTTTTTATAAAATAATATACAATTTCCAGAAAATCTGACAAATACAGAAGAAGATAAATGAGAAAATAACCCATGAAGCCACTACTCAAAGATAACCATTAATATTTTAGTGTATGCATTTTGGAGTTCTTTTTGTGCAATTATATGAATATATACTTATACTTTTACTAGTTAAGATCATGAGTATAGTTTGTGATTTTCATATATTCTAACCCCCTCTGCCCAGAAGTTCAAGTTTTTCACAATAATAAGAAAAGTAACAACTAACTTATATATAGTACTGACTATCTGCCAGGCACCATTCCAAGCACTTTGCATATATTACTTAACATAAGCCTCATTATGAACCTTTGAAGAAGATTTTATGAATGAGGCACAGAGGGTGAAATGATTTGCTTGCTGTCTCACAACTAATAAGGGGCAGAGCCAGGGTTCAGACCAAGTTATAAAGTGTGTGTTCTTAATCACAGTGGTCTGTTGCCTCCCTCTGACTCTCCACCTCTCCTGCCCCAAAGCTGCAGCCCAGCCCTGCCTCCTGCTGATCATCCTCTTCTCAGGATTCCTCTAACACTGGGTAGTAGGACATGCCACATCCTTTCTCCTGAATGTGTGAAAATCAGCCCCATCTCTGAAAAACAGTCTCCACCTACAGCCCTTCCTGTGGGGGAGCCCTTCCTCAAGAGAAGGCTGGAGATTCCCACTGAAAGAGAAACTGGCCTCCAGGCCTGGCTCTGCTCACAACTCATTTCATCTGTTTACACCTCTGTTTTCTCATGTATACAGCGATGGCGTTGGACAGCCCTTCCTTCACTTATTGGCTCACTCAGTCATTCATTTAACACCCGTTGGGCAGTTTTCCTCTATTTCCTCTGCTGTAGGAATTCATCATCCAATGTGTAGCCACAGAAGTGAACTGCAGTTCAGAGTCAGTGTGTTGTCATGATGGGAGGATGCTGGGGATGTCATGAGAGCCCCTGAGCTGGGCTGGGGCAAAGACGGTACAAGGAAGGGCTAGCCTGCGAGGTTTCCCAGAGGACAAGTAGAAATGATTTAGGCCTCCAGGGGCAGCTGAGGTGGGCTGTGGTGGCAGGGCCTCTCGAGGGCCCCTCTAGTGCGTTCCAAGCCATCCCGTCCTCAGCAGGCTACAGCAGTGTCAGCAATGGCACTTTTATTTTTTGGATCAAAACTATAGGAATTTATTGTTTCACATTCTAGAAGCTAGAGGTCTGAAATCAAAGTGTCAGCAAGGGCATGTTCCCCTGAAACCTGAAGGGGAGCATCCTTCCTGCCTCTTCAGAACTTCTGGCAGATGCCAAATCCCTAGACCTAAAGCTTCCCATGGCATTCTCCCCTGTATGTGTGTCTTCAAATGGCCAACTTTTTATTAGGACACCAGTCATATTGGGCCAGGGTCCACCTTACTTAGCTGAAGTAATTACATCAACAATAACTCTGTTTGTCTCCAATGAGATCACATTCTGAAGTACTAGCAGTTATGACTTAAACATACCATTTGGGGAGGAAACTCAGTTCAACCCATAACAATCTCTGGGGCTACCACTGAGTCTAGGCAACCTTGTCTTACTCACTGTTCTTGTTTCTCCAATTCCTTCTCCACTCGGCATCCAGAATGAGCTTCTTCCACTCCAGAAAGCAGGTGAGGGCCTAATTAGTTCTTTCAGGTCCAGGTGGAGAGTGTTAACATAGGACTTCTTTCTGCCTGGACATCTCAGGCTAAAACCAAGGGAACAAGATGGGAACACAGTAACTCCTGAAAGAGCTCTGTCAATGGATTACTGAAGGCAAGGTTATAGTACATGTGAGGATGTTTCTAACAGGATCTGATGCTCATCCTTGTCCCCCAGAGGAACTACAGGGAAGCTGAACAGGTGGCTTGGCTCCTAATGACCTCTGAGACTGGCCAAACGCCGTCCTTTTAAAAGGCTGTAGCTTGGTGACGATTTAAAGACTTTTCCTGACCTCTTTGCATGAACTTTTGTCATATTTTCTGTTAGTAATGAAGTGGTACATACTAAAGAAAAAGACCTACTACGCATATGGAACCAATGCAGTATTCACCACAACTTCTCCAGCCCCTCTCCGCACCCCCTAAGTAGCTCAAACCACCGAATTCATTATCAGTCTGCAGGAAAAGGTTTAAAAAACCTTAAGTCATGCTTTGGCCATTCAAATACTGTCACCTTTTCAACTTGACACCTTCCCATCACCTCTATCCATGTCATCTGCACTCCAAAGACATCTGATTATTGCACTTTCCTTTGACTTCTTACAGAGCTCTGGAGTGGCTTACAAAGCTTCTTACAAAGTGGCTTCCTGAGGCACTTATCATAGCTGTGGTGAGAAGTTTATGCAGAATAGTGTCCTTTCTCTCTCACTTGCATTTTGATGGCTTTTCCTCATAGTGGTCTAAACAATCCTCTCCCTCCTCATGTCACAATTCCATATCAGGCCATCAGGGCAATCTAACTGAAGGCCAAGACCTGAATAAGCAAGTCAACTTATTAGAGAAGCTTTCTCTTTCTGGGCACAACCGCAGAGAGCCAGCTTCAGGGGCAAGGATGTGAATGTACAGATTACAATAGGGGGATGGATGATGTACTATGGCAGTATCCATACTGCCTTGCCAGTTACAGGCTCTAGATGTTTGCGATATAATCATTTATATATGCATATATTTCTCCATTTTCTTCTCATTCAGATACAGATAGACCTTTCTTAGAGATGCACAGTGAAGTACCTAAAATGATATATATGACTGAAGGAAGGGGGCTCGTCATTCCCTGCCGGGTTACATCGCCTAACATCACTGTCACTTTAAAAAAGGTAAAGTTGAGCAACACTATTCTCAGAAGCTTTTTACTGCAAATGAGCATAATGAAATTTTCGTCATTTTATATCTGTGGAATACTTCTCTTAAAGACATTTGGGCTCCTCAGTGGGCTTTTAATAACATTTTTTTAGTATAAAGTATAAGAGCTTGAAGTTATACTTGTGCATGTATTTAAATGGATAAAATGATAATGTCTTAAACATAAATCTATGAGGAAAATGGAGGAACTGAAATCATGAAAGTTTTGCATTTGCCACATATCCAAGTATCTACAGATGTGAGAAAGAGCAATTCTATTGCTTATACAAATTAGTAACTTGGCACAGTGGTTAATAGATTTTTGCTAAAGACAGAACTGTCAGGCGGATGGTTCTCTGAGCTCTGGTCTTTGGTGGAGTTGGGGGTTTCCTGGTAACAAAAGGCTTTTCTCTTACTGCGCATCCAAACTTAGCCTCTTAAGAGGGGAAAAAAGGGAAAGAATGTTATAAATGAGATGGTCTTCCTATTATGTTGTAAATTGTGCATGAGGGGAAGGAAGATATTTAAGGTAGAATTTAAAAAAAGCAAAAAAGCTAAACTGTGGCAGTCCCACTAACTCACCAGTAGTAGGAGTTTAGGAGTACACGAAGACCAAGAATTGGATAAAAGCTCCTTAAATGAAAAAGTGCTGACTCCTGAGCGCTTTAAGGGGAAAAATTAAGGCTGTCCCACCACATAGCAGCAACTCAGGGTGTGTGTGGTGTGGTGGTGGCGGTCCGTAGGATCAGTTTAGGGTGACTTTCGGTAACATCTATCAACCCTGAATACTGAAAGGGGATAGAGGTGTCTCCCTGTCTTCATCCTTTGCATTCGCTCTCCTATGGTTTTCATTTAAGCCCTCAATACAGTCCACCAGAGGCAGGTTTGGGCTTCTATCACATCTGTGTATCATTGCCAGGAAATATGAAATCCTTGTATGTGAGAGTGGAAACAGCAGAGGAGGCTAATTCCACTGATGGAAGAAAAACCTGAGGCTCCCAGGGAGGCAGGGCCCATGTCTTGACTGCTCCTTCGGAGCCCCGCCGCCCTCCTGTAACTGCCCAGTTTGCACTGGGGGAAGACCAGTGTGGTGACGGGCAGGGGCCCAGGCCTCCCTGCGTGGCTTCTTACCTGCTGGGCAAACTGGCAAAGCTACCTCATTCTCCTCCTTTTGGAGATGGGAGCAGTCATAGCAGCGCTCACCTCACATGATTATTAGGAAGGCTAAGTGAGGTGATCTGTAGAAAAGCATTTAGAACAATGCCTGGTGCAAGGTAAGCCCTAATCAAGGGTTAGTATTTTTATTACTTAATCTAGCAGTTTAATACTACACTTGATTATTACCAAGAAGTCTTTTCAATAGCATGGCATTACTCCTCTTAGTCTGATCTGTTAATTGCTCTATGATTGATATGAAACAAACCATGGGGATGGGAAACTTCTCTGTTTCAGGCAAGCCCCTTGCTTTTTTGCCCTAATGCAGATCTGTTGCAAGGAACATCCCCAAATTCCCACATGTAAAACAATTTTTAAAGATCTATGACAGAGAGAGAGAGAGAGAGAGAATGAATCAAGTTCTAACAGGGATTCTGGTTTGGCACATATATATTGAAAATACTCTGACCTATTACATATATAAGCTGATTTGACGTTAGTAAAAGGTCTTTCCCTTCTGTTTCTCATATGGGGCTTTTTCTTCAAATTTGCTGGCCACACACCACCACCCCCGCCCCACCCCACCGCTTTCCAGTGCTTGCTTCTTCAGAGCCATTGTCAGCTGCAGACAGGCCTCCCTGTTGGCACTTCTTCCAAGGTACCCATCATCCACCTGTTTATGACACAGGCGGCCACTGCCACAGCTGACAAGCCTTGTAGTCTTTTGCTATTTGAGCTCTTGTCAGCCAGAAATAAAGTAACTTGTTAGTGAAATCCTAGTCGGAGAAGCTATAGATAGATTAGAATAAGATCTAAAGAACACTTTGGAGGAAATTTTACTGTTTTTAAGCTGTGCTGAGGAAGTCTGTCAGCAAACCTATCTTTCAGATTCAGCACAGGCTAGTCTTCACATATTTTTAAAGTACCACGATTTCAATCCCTGACTTAATTTTTTCTGAATTTTTCTCTTAATAGTTTGCACTAAGTTAGAAGAGAAAGTTGTTTTTCCCCACTGGATGCAAAGCATTCCTAAGTTTATAGATAGAATCCTGATTTTCTAAAACATAAAGTATGCCCTTCAGTCTCTTTAAGGTTTTTGTAAACAGGATATAACTCATTCCAACCTGAGTAACACTCAGGTAACAGTCACATATCCACATACACATAGTCACTGGGAGAGAGGCACTTGTGACGTCTGCAATAGAGATTCAGCCCCAGGACCACAAATGCCAGCCAGATTAGCTTCTTCAACAAGCAGTATAAACAAATGATAAATGCATAGCATGATGTAAGGTGTACTTTTTTAAAAAGAAGGTAGAAAAGATTTTAAACTTCTTCATGCAGTTTGGCTTTTCCTTTATGATCTCTGACGGTAAGGTAATCTGATTTTTTTTTTTTCCTTTTCCAAGTTGGGACAAACATTAGTGGCAGTGGGTAGATCCTGCCTCTCAACCTGGGCTGGCAACCTGGCGTCCAAGGGATTTGTCCAGGACCCTCTGTGCAGCGACGACCCTTTATAATGTCCAGTCCCAGGGTGGACTGTTTATATTGTAGTCTCCAGAAATGAAGTCCTTGAGGTTTAGAAGAAGGCATAAGGGGAGGGTCAGATCCTGGATTCTTTTCTTCTGTTTGGACTCCCTGTGCTTGGGAATACTTTGAAGAATTGGAGACCAGTCCATCCATCCCAGTGCCTCTGGCCTCCTCATCTATTGGCAACTGTCTTCACTGTTGGCAGCCTCAGCTTCAGTGAGGGGAGTGGGGGGCGGTTCCCCTCCAGAGGTAGCTGGTGTCCTCAGCCTTCTCAGAATGACAGCCCAGAGAAGGCTCTGAATCTTGAAGGATCTGGAATGATTTCTAGTTCCTTTAAGACTGCCACCTCTGTTGTGAATTGTGCAAAATAGGAAGACAAGTTACAGAATGTTAACAGCTCCAGATAAAGACATTCATGAGCATAGCCTGGCAGCCCCTTGGGAAATATACTAATCGGTTCCTCTATTGAGTATCAGGCCATCAGGCCAGTTTATTACAAAGGCTCCCAGAGGCCAGAGAGACACAGGCTCCCACTAGAAGTCTGACATGACAACTAGGTCCATCCTGGGTGGGGGCAGATTGTTGTTAAAGCTGATAATCAATTATCATAATTATTCTAATTTATCATAATAAATGTGTATCTTGCTACATGCAAAGAAAACTAAAGAGCCATTTATAACAAACTAGATTTTTTTACCTGTGCTATTTTTATTTTAGATGAAAATTATGTTTTCTCAAACTATTAGTGAAACTAATTGCCACAGTGTTAATATGATTTTGTTAGAGCATGTTTCTTCCTTTTCAGTTTCCACTTGAACCTCTGATCCCTGATGGAAAAAGAATAACCTGGGACAGTAGGAAGGGCTTTATAATTTCAAATGCAACATACAAAGAAATAGGGCTTCTGACCTGTGAAACAACAGTCAACGGCCATTTGTACAAGACAAACTATCTCACATATCGACGAAGTAAGTGATGTTCCAAAGGCATGAACATAAAACAAAATGCTCAAGGGTTTAATCTACCTAATGAAACCATGATTTTTTTAAAAATATTATTTCTTATGCTTGTAGCCAATGTAATCTTTGATGTCCAAATGAGCACACCAAGCCCTGTCAAGTTACTCAGAGGCCATACTCTTACCCTCAACTGTACTGCCAGCACTGCCTTGAATACAAGAGTTCAAATGACCTGGAGTTACCCTGGTAAAGTGAGTGACCAATTTTTCTATTTCTTCTATAAGATAGTATTTTCTACTTAGTAGTGAAATGACACTGTGTTTTTATAGTGGGAAAAATCAGAATGTTTTGTCTTCTATGGCAGTTTGAGTCAATAAAGAAGCTTTGCGTTTGGTTTGCGTGTTTTCCTTGCTTAGCATTTCATGAGCCTGATATGCATAGATAGGGTCTTTTGATGTCTGGAGGTTTCGTTTTGAAGTGTATAGAATGGTATTTCTATTGCATGATTCTGGGTAGAAAAAGGGATTGTTTCATCCTCGGAAACCATTCTCCAGGATTTAGAGATGAGAGAAATTTATCACTAATACCGGGCAGGGACTGTCTTTTGTAACAGCAACAACAAAAAGTTGTTGTCAGCACATTAATTTGAGATACTGGCAGACAGTCAGGCACCTGATTGGAGCATGTTTGGAAAAGATAATACAACCCAGCCATCCAGGCTTCCATTTGTTAAGTGACAAAGGAGCGATTCTGTCCCTCAGAAAAATCAGAATAATGAAGGTTGAGTTGGGTTCCCTTATACATATTAAACATCCTTGCAAACAATAGTTATTTTAAAAATGTGTAGATGGGGAACCTATGATAAACTGTTCAGAAATGTTTGACAGTAGTTCCAGCCCCCATTTCTTGTGTCAGTTTGATTTAAGTGGCACATCCCAAATATAGTCATCTGTTATGTCATTCAAGTTGCCAATCACCAAGTTCACTTATGATTAAATTATGTACAAAAGTTTCATGCATCAGCCCCAAGCTATTGTTTTTCATCAACATTTCTTGCCATGAAAATTGAATAACTTGGCAATGAAAAGGTGTAACAAGTGCCCTGTAGGGACACATTAAGGACTCATTAGTCAAAGTATTTTCTAGAAAGTAGTATTGTTTCATTTAAATAGAAATGCTATGACTTGTGGCAATATTTTCAGGGTTTTGATAGAAATCAAATATTCTCAATCAATTAAATATTTTCAATAAATGCCAAGAGGGAAGAAACTTTCATCCTGTTAATGTTGCTGCTCTAAGTGAAAGTATGATAGTACATCTACTGAAAGCCAATAGCCTTCTGACATGGCACTGCCCAATAGAACTTTCTGAGATGGAAATATTCCACATCACCGCTGTCCAGTACACTCACCACCAGCCACATACATATAACTAATGAGCACTCGGAATGTTGCTAGTGTGACTGAGGAAGTGAATTTTTAACTTTGTTTACTTTTAACTTAAATAGCCCCATGTGGCTGGCGGCTACAGTACTGGGCAACTCAGTTCTGAAACACAGGATCAGTTGTTTTCCAAGGCAGAAACAATATCAGTGTTACTCAAACTTAGAAAGGAAAACATTTTCAAAGGGAGAAGGGGAGGTAACACCTCTGTAAATTGCTGAAAGTCCCTCATCTGTTATTTTAGAGGACTGAGTGTCTGATTTTTGATGGTGGAGATTGACATTTTCTCCCTGGTTACTGCTGAGAAGGAATAAAATGGCCTAAATGTGTATCTGTCCCAACAAGACAAGAAAAGGAGAGGTGGGTAAAAGTTATGAAATATGGTGCAGAGGAGAGAAATTCAAGGCTCAAAGATCAGTTCTGGATAGTTTCCAAAGTCTTTTTTTCCATGCTCCCTCATGAGGAAGAGTGGAGAGAAGAACATAACATATTATGTGCTATAAAATAAAATGTTTAAAGAAAAAAAAGAGGGAGGGAAAATGAAAAGAAAAGGCAGTGTGACCTCATCTTCTCAAAACCAGGAGCAGTCAGTGTGGCCAGTTTACAGGGCCGACTCTCAAAGCCTGCTGCAGGTCTTCCCTGAAGGAAACACGAGACAGCGCCCCCCAAGTGGTAGCTAACCATGTCGGTGGCTTTCCCCCAGATCCATTTAGTGTGATTTAGCAGAAATTGGCAAGCATGGCTCAAATGGTGAAATAATGAAGCTGGGAGTGTTACACCTTAGTAGGTGTGGCCAGGAGTCACTACCTTTTCCTTCAATTCAAGTAAGGAAGCAGAAGAAAGCTCACATGGTGATTTATTAAGAGAAATACTGTCATTAAGCCAGATGCTGAAGGTGATTGTTGCCTGCATTTGTGTATGAGGTCTGTGCCTAGAGAACATGTTGCTGTTTAGAGAAGTGTGTGTGCTAGAGGGAAGACTCTAGATGTCTACACCAAAGACTAGTTCTTGCCTACTTTGGCTGGTGTCTCTGACACTTCAGTGTCTGTCTGTACAAGGACAAAAATCCTGCTAATATGACTGAGTAATGACGAGAAATGGTTGAGATAATGCATGTGAAAGTCCATCTGAAGGAGAGGAAGTGCTCAAAAATGCCACCGTGGTGCATATGTGAAATACCCAGACAGAGACGTAATTTCCAAACCTCTTGCTCCAGGTGGGTTTGCTTCTCAGCTTCAAATGTTGATATCAGTAATGAGCCAAGAAGTGCTATCACCTTTAAGTGTGAACAATTACTACTTCTATATTTGTTATGTTTTCTTTCTAGAAAAATAAGAGTGCCTCTATAAGGCAACGATTTGACCAAGGCAATTCCCATGCCAACATATTCTACAGTGTTCTTACTATTAACAAAGTTCAGAGCAAAGACAAAGGCATTTACACCTGTCATGTGAAGAGTGGCCCAAACTTCAAATCTGTTAACACCTCAGTGCGTGTATATGGTAAGCAACTCAAGCTCTGCTTTCGAGTCATTGTGGTCGGGGGGGGGGGGGGGGGGGTTCAATAAACTTTCTTTTGGCCAAGAGGAACACAGTCACGAACAAAGGCAATGTTGTCCCCTCCCACCCCCTGCCAAAAAACAAATCACATTAAGTGCTCTTTAAATTTAATACTTTTGAATTGAACAGAGAATCTTTTCCTTACAAGTTTATTGTGGTTAATAACAACTCAGGTCATGTTAAAATCTATATGAAATCCTTTATTTAGTGTTCCTTATAAACAAAACAGAAAAATAGGATTATTTTTACGCTTATTTTCAAGGGAAAGTTTCTAAGGTATTACTATGATTTAGAGAAATAAAAATATGCTATCATAAGTTATTTAGAACTGATACTCTTTTATCCCTGGTTTTACTCTCATGAAATCCTGATATTGTTGCCTAATTCCAAAAGGCAAATTCTGTTAAGAAAATACTTAAACCTCTTTAGAAACCTCAAAAACCTTATTTATTACTTTTCACTGTTGAAAATAAAAGCAATGTGAGGAGCAAAAACCAGGGGACAATTCTATCAATGCCTTTGATGCTCTTTTGACGTTCTTCAGTTGATTTTTATACCGAATTAGTTGTTTTAGGGTGCCTGGAGCAACTTTCTCTCATCATACTCATTTGGCCTGAGAGGTTTTTAGAACTGAGAGGTTTTTAGAACTGAGAGGTTTTTAGAAGCATCTTTCTACTTTTTTGTTATTTTGATGTAGACACTTAAGTTGTTTCACTTTTTGTTGGCCCAACACTGCTTTTATGCCTCCAGGACTTGCAACCATTTGATTCGAAAGTTTTTCACCACTTAGGATACTTTTAAGTTATTTCACTCATTCATCACTATTTGGGCTCATTGATAATTCATCTCTATTTATTCCTTGGTTGCACTCTCCTTTAATGACAGAGTGAGTTGGGTTTTTGATTTTAATATATCTATCACTTCTTTCAAAGATGATGCATTCATCACTGTGAATCATCGAAAACAGCAGGTGCTTGAAACTGTTGCTGGCAAGAAGTCTTACCGGCTCCCCGTGAAAGTGAAGGCATTTCCCCCACCGGAAGTCGCATGGTAGGATCAAAATTATTTTCCTATCAGTTCACAATAAGCTTTATAAGTCAAGATGCGGAGATCACTGCCTTGGATTCCAAAAATAATCAAGTTCCCCAGACAGCGGTGGAGAGCTAAGAGCTGTGTTGCATCTGGGCTGGGAGTGGAGCAGGCAGGAAAGAGGGCAGGGAGGGGCGATGCTGTGTTAGGAGGGAGCAGGGATTAGGGTTTTTGAGTGCTCATTGCAATTTAGTCTTTCATTCACTCTGACTAAATTTCTGCATCTTTAAACCTTCCTATGATGTCAACACCCTCTGAATGGAACATGTTGGGCAATGACTAGGAAGCCTCCTGAATAAATAGCATGCTCTATTAACCCTGAAGAAGTGGCCCTTGTGACAAGGATAGTAATTCTTTTATTATCTGAAAATAATTCTTTTCTATACAGCTGGGATGAAAGTTTCAGTCTTGTTGTAAAATTAAACATTATTAGAGACAAGACTTAATTCAGTTGCAGGGGTGGACAAATGCACCTACTTGAACTAATTTTGGGGGGTTTTTTGGCTCAAAGTTTACATATTCTGAAACTCCTTAAGCAGTTTTTTTATGCTTGCACAACACCTGATGTGAAACAATGTAATCCGTTTATAATCTGCAGTCGTTTTTTTAAAGCACTATTGAACGCCAGAATCCTTGGCTCTATTACATTTTAAAACAAAGAGTTTAGTACAAAGCTGATTAGGAAAACAACCCATGCAATATAGAAGTGGGGCCATTTTAGAATCTCCTCGACCAGAGCTTACTTTGCTTTCATTATCATATGAGCCTTGTGTTTGTTCTCAGTTTCCTCAAACAGTTCATAGGTAATTAAAGAGAAAATTACATTTGTGCTAGGTCCCTTCATGCTGTTGCAGTAGAAGAGAGATTTTCGGGGGAATTTCATAATATCTAGGAAGTTTAATAGTGAATTTCCTATTAGTGTACATTATTCCTTAATAGGAATTTAATCTCTCCAGGAGCTGCATTCCATCTTTCCGAGTCCAAGTGTAATCCCAAGCATTAAACGGTACTAATTTCTTTAGTCACTAAGTAGCAAGGACCTGAAACAAACAAACAAACAAAAAATCCATTTTCAAACCTACTGACTTGTCATTTAAATGCTTTGGAACTGAGACCCATCAGTAATGGGAATTTGTTTGCAGAGCTCTGTAATACATACATAGATATGAAGTAATAGCACTTTCAATGTTATATGCCTTTATGTAGAACACAGTAAACTCTTAACAGTAAAAATTGCTCATTTCAAGAACAATGCAGTTTAATTAAATGATGTAATTTTAAAGTTAAAAGAGATCCTTGAGAAACTCTATAGAAAACTTGGAGCAACCGAGGCCCACACGGACAAGCATGCACTGGCTGAGCCAGGCTCAGCACTCGGGCCTCTTGATGTTCTCAGTACTGTAAGCAGCTGCATGATATCTAGGCATCACTTCTATATTTAAAGTTAAAAACATTTTTTAAGTTTATACCTTTTGTTTGTGAGTTTTGTGCTTTAACTATTCTTCCTCAGGGGAAAAATCTTGGTAATCTTGATTTCACTCTAGTTTTTGAAAGGGACAACTGCTGTGACCATTTATACAGCTAATAAGAACTCCACATGAGATCACAATAGGAAAGTCTATTTTTATTTTTATCTGGAGAAGTGATCTAGTTGATCTGACTTACAATGGCCCTTGTACTGCTGGTGGAGCCTCATGGAAAACTCTGGAAAACATCTCGGAGGGAATCGGCTAGAGCTTCTGGGTCACTGCTTGAGTCGCAGTGGCGGCCAGACCCCGAAGGGCGCGTCAAACCATCACCTCTGTCTTCCGTCAGCTTACTGCTTCCTCTTTGCCCCGAATTAGAAGGCATGCCAGTCTGAAAACCACACCTGGTTTTATTGAAAAGTTAGTGTCTAAGTTTTTTTTTTTAATGAATGCTGAGGATCAAAGACTTGAAAGGCATAAATTTGAGTTCACAAACATAAATGGCAGTGTTATAAAGTGATGTCTGAGAGGCAGCATGAAATGACTTACTGATCACGCACTTAATTAACCACAGGCTAAAAGACGGGTTACCTGTGACGGAGAAATCTGCTCGCTATTTGGTTCGTGGCTATTCGTTAGTTATTAAAGATGTAGCTGCCGAAGATGCAGGGAATTACACAATCTTGCTGAGCATAAAGCAGTCAAATGTGGTTAAAAACCTCACAACCACTCTACTCGTAAATGGTAAGTTTACTGTTCAGGCTTTCTCCTGATTCTGGTATGGGTAACAATAATAAAAATTTGTAAATCAAAAATCAGTATAACAACATCAAAGAAAACAAATTTGTAAGTAATTATTTTAAAAACTACGTATGCCCCATCATAAGTATTTCATATCTACTTGTTATGCTCCATAAATAATACGGCTTTTTATCATTATAATCATACCTGCCATGTGATCAATTTTTCAATGTTCTCAAAACACTTCTACTTTTTAAAAAATTGGCATTATAGTGACAAGTATGAGGGCTTATTTGTTTTTTGTTCATGTGTTTGTTTCCCTACCATCAAAACCAGTGATAACGTGGTCCTTACTGTTGTGGCCCAGGAGCAAGTCATTGGAACAGCTCTTGACTTCCGTCCTGTTCTTCATCTTCTTTGCAGTGAAACCCCAGATTTACGAGAAGGCTGTGTCACCATTTCTAGAACCAATTCTCTACCCACTGGGCAGCAGACAAATCCTGACTTGTACCATTTATGGTATCCCTCAACCTACAATCAAGTGGTTCTGGCATCCCTGTAACCATAATCATTCGAAAGCAAGGTAGGGACAGTTAATTTCTTGAATGACTTTCAACTACTTTTTGTCACCTCGATCAAAATTCTTTCCTGAACACCAATGGGAGTTTGCAGATGGGATGTGCCGTATGTTGGGGGCAAAATCTTTGCCTGCCTTGGGAGAGAGGTAAGCAGTATCTATTCTTCTTCCTTACCCATTTCTAATTTTTTCTCAAGTTGATAGTTTTAGGAGCACAGAGACGGAACAAAGGTCACCCTGTGAGCCATCATTTAGAACTCAGGTTGAATGCCAGTCTCTTGTTTTCCAGTTGAGCACCCCCACACTTTGGCTCTACCACTGGTCTTCCCTCTTATCACCTCTTAAACGTTGGGTATGATATGAGATCTTCCCAACACAGATGATCACTACCTTTCAGGGGCTTTGCTCATACTCCCCCAGTCTGTCCAAAAGGCACCTCTACCCATTTTCTATTTCCTAAGAAGTCTTTCTTTATCCTCCAAGGCTCAGCTCCTATGTCACCTTCTCTGAAGCCTCCTGACTGCCTCACTGTGACCCTTCTCCCTCCCCAGAATGAACAGCACTTTATGTACTCCGTTATTATGGCACCATGCGTGTATACATGCATCTGCTCTCCAGATCTGAGCTGATGGAGAACACCTCTGTGTCCTTAGGGCCCGGCATGGTATCTGGCACACAGCAGATGCTCACTATGTATTTGCACAGCGAATACATCCCGACCTCCTGCTACCTGTGCAGTGTTTCCTTGCATCCTGTTGACAACTGAGTCCTATTTGCTTTCTTTCCATTTTTTGTTTAATTTAAGGGAATGGTACAGATGATAGTTTCTGGAAGCTAATTTGAAAAGTAGGAATGGAATTGGTAGGTAAAACAATATTATTGAGTTGTCCAAGAATTGTTATTATGCCAGATATTTGCTTTATTACTTTTAACTCCACTTGTAGAGTGTTTGGGAGAACTGCTATTAAAAATTTTAGCTTGATAAAAAGTAAACAAGACATAGCTCTAGCATAAACAGAAGTGGCTACTTGGTTTTCTGCATTCTTCCTGCAATTTCAGCTCTTCTTTATTTTGTGTTTAAAGCATGTTGTTCTGACATTGAAACTTGCTGGTGAGTTATGGAATTCCTGAGAAGTACCTGTTTTCATTCATGCCTGATTTCTCATCTAAAATATGGAGAACTTCCAAATTTTGAATATCTTGTTTACCACTGTGGATATTTTACTCAAAAGAAAGTGAGATATCCTGAGATTTTGTATTATTTTGCTGATTTTGGGGGTAGGCATCCATATTTATGAACCCATCCCTTTAAAGCCTAGATATTTGTGCCACCCTAACATGTTAATATAAATAAATAAATAATTTAAGCTATTAAATTTAGATAAAAGTTTAGAGTTGAATTTTTATGGAATAGCATAGCCTTCTATAGATATTTAAACTTTTGATAAGAGAAAACCTAGAAATTTGTTTAGGATTAGAACGAGTAATTGTTAGAAAATAACAATTATGAGTGATAGATAGAACATCATATTATAAAGTTAGGTTTGAATAATGCTGGTAAAATGCAGTTTGGGGAAGGAGGGCCACTGAAATGAAACTTTGGAAACATTAGCTCTCTCTTCCAGTTTCTTTGTGGTATATGAGATCCTTTTCTCATGTTATGGAGTAATGTTGCCAAGGCCTAAAACGATGTCTTATTCCTCTTGGAATTCTCTCAAGACTCAGAGCAGTGCCTTAAACCTTCAATATTTGTCAGCCATTTGATTTACCCTTTGTTAAAGGCATTCATTTTTTTTTTTTACCAGTCACAAGACATATCAGAAGCAAAACTTTAACTATGTCACTGATGCTTCATGTAAAAGAATATGTTGCTTGAAATTATCTGTTGAAAATGTGCACAGACACACAAAGTTCTCTTTGTTTTAGTCAGTAGACTGATTGAGGAGCTTACCTATGTCTGGCCCAGTTGTGGTGCTTAGTGGTTAAGTAGAACATTTAACTCAGAAGCATTTCAGAAAGATACATGGGGCCTTCGTGTACTAGCAAACACATGGAATAACTCTATTTCACCCTGTCAGAGAGAGAAAAGCTAAAATTGACAGATCAATGAAACCCTCTTTAATTACTAAAATTTTTAAAATATGTTTCTAAGTAAATATATTTAATATACTTATATTAACAATTAGATTGCACTGTAGACAGGAATTTAGTTAGTAACATTTTAATAAAGGGCTGTTCTATTGCATAAATTTCTTAAGTCTTACTTATTTTGAGTTACATAGTAACATATTTGCATAGTGGTGTCTGTGGGTGATCATCAAAAGTAATTTGGTGATTAATGTACAGCCAGCTCTCAAATAGTTGTTTCATTCAGTGTTGTTTCATTGTAACATTGGCGAGGAAAAAGAAAAATTCATTCCCAGCCAGGGTCACTGTCTGAGTGGAGTTCGCCCCTTCTCTGCACGTCTGGTGGGTTTTCTCTGGGTCCTCCAGTTCCCTCCTACCTCCCAGAGATGTGCACGTCGGTGAACTGGCGCATCTCCATGGTCCCGGGCTGAGTGAGTGTGGGTGTGGGTGTGTGGCCCTGAGACAGAGGGGCGTCCTGGCCCACACGGGTCCCACCTGGGACCCTAAACTTCTGGGAGCGGAATCAGTGGGTTGGAAAATCATTATCTTACCTGTTTTTCTTAATTTTTCTTAAATTTATGTAGAATTCACACTGATCTCAATGTTTAATATTAGAAGTGTTTGAGGTCTTTATTGAGAAGTTTGGTGAATTTTTTGGTGACCAGACATATGCCATAGGAACTGAACGCTTGTTTATGTCAATTAGCATAGGGTATAATTGGTTTCCTTATATGCTGTTTTGCTTCAAGTCAGTTTCCAAGAACCTATGAACATTAAGTGAGGACACACTGTATACACATCACTCTTGAATATGTAGAATAATTCTTGATATTTTAAAATTTAGGTTCTAGTTAAAGGACATATCTATATAGAGGTACAACCAACACATTAGTTTAGTTTTCAGGTTAGAATGTCCTTAAGTAGCTCAAGATTATTAATTGGGTAATGTGTCTAAGTTAACATGACCATCTGATTAATGTATCTGATCTGGCCAGCTGTTTAATCCACGTGAGTTAAAGAAGTTCACATGTTACTCAAATGATATAGTTATCTGAAGTTCAATAAATATATAAATATATTTTAAAACTAAACTACTGCTCAATTAGTTCATCTTTATGGATATTAAGAACTAGAAATAGATCTCAGAAAAATGTCCTCCTTTTAAGAAAAATGTGGTAAACTCCTGAACTGTTTTAACTGACTAACATTGAGGTTTGGGGTTCACCTAGAATTCGTTCTTATAAAACATTAGAAATTAAAGAAAGAAGGAAAAGGTTGTTCCTTTTTAACTCATACACCTAATGAGCTGAGAAGAAATATAGCAGAATCTTTCCCCTTTTATTTTTCTGCATATTTCAGTGGTAAAGTAGTAGAACTAGATTATTTCTTTTGAGTGTTTAATGATATTCATAGATGTTATTGACTCTGAATGCAGTGGATTTTGGATTTTTCCACCCTTAGCCACCAGCGGAGACTTCGGAGCAGCTGTCCCAGAATGCGCGCTCCATGCTGGCGTGCGTGTGAGCCTCGGTGGTGTGCAGAGCACCTGTAGCACCTTTCACATGTGTGTAGTTTACAGCTTCTGTTCATAGAAAATAAAGACAGTTATACACACTTCATAGAGAGAATACGAGGGTCAAATGAAGCAATGTATTTGGGAAAGGTAAACAGGGCCAAAGAAATGCAAGGTTGTAATTCCTGTTAGCAGTGGGGTAAATAAAGGCCACAAAACTTTTAAGAAATTTTGAAAGAATTTTAGGGCTAATTTCACAACAGTGAGAATTTTTACCCAACATTTCTGAGATGTGAACACAACTGTGGAACATAAAATGTAATTTTGCTGTACTTTAGAAATAGAAATTTTTTAGGTCCAGGTTGTAGAATTGAGGAAAATATAACTTACAACTTGGCAGAAGAAGAAAAATGAAGGAAATAGAAATGAGTTAGACAAAAGTAAAAGTAAGAATTGACAAAAGTGTGTAATGAGGGAATGGCGTCCCTCCCCCCGTTCATGTGGCAAGTCCCATTCACTTGTTTCCCCTCATGGGAGGAAGTGATTCTGACCTGTGGGCAGAGTGGAACATGGGAGAGCTGACTCCTCTCCACGAGTTCCCGTTAGGGTTCTAGGATTTCACCTCCCCCCAGCTTTTGAAGAGCTAAGTAGGTGTATGAAACTGCCCCTGCAATGAGCTAGTCTGATCTCATAGTCCTTGGTGAGCTTTGCCATGGTGTTGGCTCCACCTCATAGTGTTTGGAAGTAGTGTTTGGATAAGGTTGCCTGTTGCAAGGAGATTGGTTTCTAAAGGAACAGCAACTGGACTGGACTGGAGAGAAGAGCCTTTCTTTGGGGAATGGAGGAAAGGATGGATTTGAGGGGCCCAGGAGAGAATGGGGAAAGGACCATTTTGGCATAATAACTGTGGATTTCAACTGCCCGTTTTCTCAGAAAGTATCTAAGGCATTGAAAGACTGCTTTTATTCTCACACACTTGAAAGCCAAGGAGCCCCTCAGGTAACTGACTGGACAGCTGTGTGCTGGGACAAGTCATCTGCTCCCGCAAATGTGAGGGTGCTGAGTGGGCTTCTGCTGGGCCACCCTTCCCGACAGTCTCCATGAACTCAGATCACGTCCCCATTACCGTGCAGTCTACCCAGTTGTCTTTTTAAAACTAAAGCTTGCTTGTAAAATGTTGACGATGGTTGGGTCTTTTCCATAGGGAGGTTCAAGGCCTGCAGCCTTTAATTCTGGCATTGGTTTTTAGAACACACATTCTTCAGATCACAGGATGCTTTAATTCTCTCCCTCCATCTAATGATTGCAAGTGATAATTTCAAGACAGCTTATAATAGATGGAGTCGCAACACATCGTATGATGTTG